AAAAAAACAAAATTGAAATTTATTAGATAATTATTAATTAAAAAATGTGACCACAAATTAGAAAATTAAAATAAATAAATTTGTCAATAAAATTAAAAAATTTTAATCCGCTAATGGTTTAATACAAAAAGTTACATAAACTAATTTTTTCAATCCGCTAGTGATTTAAATCCTAACCACTATCCGTTAATTTCAAACCGTTAAATAAAAATTTTACCAAATACTTTATTTGTAGCGGTTTTAAAATATATGAATTTACCAAACACCTATATTTATCAATTTAAGTAAAATCGCTGATCATTATTCCAAAACCACTATATCAAACGAGTCCTTAGACTGGAATAGTCCATTGAAGGATCAAAGCAACTCTTTTTGGGTAATCATTTTACTCTGTGTTGATATTGAAATCAATGAAAGATTTATCTTCTTAATTCAATCTATTTGGTTTCTAAGAAAAAAAAAAAAAAAAAGGAGTCTAGTTTCAATCCATCCGTTTCAGTTTCTATACTAGGGATGCTTAGTTTATATGTGAATACAATGCTCTTTTCTTTATAAAAAAAAAACCTTAACTAGAATTTTTTTGCTACTGTATTTCATTAAAAATATTATAGTTTTTTAGGTCTAATGCAACTAGGATACCATTAGTTGGATCTAAAAATTACAGTGAGTTGCTGAACGATTCAACCCATGGTATTTGTCATGGCATTTTTAAATCCAATTATAAGTAAAAGGAGGAAAGAAGCACTTTTGTCATTTCTTGTTACTTCGAATTCAAAATGCCAAGGATCTAAGGTCTGTTCTCTCATGTGCGTTTACAATATCAATTTCTTATTTAATAATATTTTGGGACGGACTAATTAATGTGGTTTGTCTGGAATTTGTTAGTTGCAAGTAAAAATTTCTTAAAGGTTTGATGATGTCGGTTGCTTTCTTTATTCCTCTGTTTCTTTATTGATTGAAAAAGTGTTAGTGACTGTTTATTTGGTGACATTAAAGCTTTTAATAGAAGTTTTATTATAACGAAATTATTTATAGAAGTGTTACTTTTATAAATAGAAAGAAAAATAAAAATAAAATGAGAATAATATGTTAATTTCATTAGAATTCAAATAGAAGATCTTGCCGAAGGATAGATTCGGTGCTTCTGAGATTTGTAATAATATAGATAAAATACTAACTTGTGAGAAGTTATAATATTTTTCACAAATTGTAGTGTTTGGTGCAGTTAGAGTTTTTGAAATGGCAAAATACTCAAATCCATCCCTGAACAAAAAACGGGAACAAATCCATCCATAAAATTTTCGACTTTGATAAATTACTCTAAATTTAACATGTGACATCATCTAACATCAGCAATTCGTTAATGAATTAATAGATTGTTGACGTTAGATGACGTCAAATTAACAAATTGTTGATATCAGATGACGTCATACGTTAAATTTAAGATGATTTGTCAAAGTCAAAAACTTTTTAAGTGGATTTTTTTTTTTTTGTTCGAGAATGGATTCATTCCTATCACTATACTTTGAGGATAAACTTAAATATTTTACTTTTTGAAATTTAAAATAACTTTTCACGAAACTGTATCAAACATAACTTTAGTCATGTTATTCATCCTACATCAAAAATAAAACAATAATCACATTAGTCGAGTTAAAATCTCGGATACCCATATTATCCAAGAAAAGAAGAAAAGGACTAGCACATCAAGTGGGGTAGCGACTAACTTAAAAAAAATAATTGGACAGACCAGCAATGTAGGAGAAAACGTGGATGTAGTGGATAACCTAAATTGCGCAAAAGGTATATGTTAATTTGTCGAGAGTCACTTAAGAAGTAATTTAATAGTTAAAACTTTAAAATTTGAAATTATATATTTTAATTTTAAATATTGAATAAGTGAAAAAAGATTTAAAAAATAGTTTTTTTGTTGTATAACTTATTATTATTAAATACATAAAAAATAAAATCTTGCCAGAGTCTCTTCGATTCTCCATTAAGCATACATTGGTCCCCTAGTAAAAGATAACCTTTCCCAGCTCATAATGAGTTGCACTTCGATCATCTACTTGGGGTTTGGACTTTGGACCCTCTAGTTTCGTTTTGGTGGACCTCTTAAAGTCACTTTCTTTGAAATTAATCTCCTTTTATTTCAAAAAATGGTACAACTCTATGCGCGATTATCAAGAGATCCAGCTAACACGTTAGATATCGGGTCCATAACTTGAACCTAAACTTATCGGTTGAAATCAATATTTAGCTTCTCATTTTATAAAATTAGTAGATTTTAACATCTAACTTTATAATATGATGTTTTTAATTTTTTACCTTATAAAATTAGTAGATTTTAACCTCTCACCTTACAAAATTGGTAGATTTTAATCCATCACCTTATATTATGATACTTTAAATCTTTTATCTGTACAAATTGAAGAAAATAACCCTTATTTAATATCAATTTTAATATTTTATTAATTCTGTTAGCTGACTGTCAGTTCTGTTATTGACTGTCAGTTTTATTAACTAACTGTTAGTTTTGTTAGTTGACTATTAGCATCCGTTAACATTCCGTTAATGAAACTAACAAATAAAATTGAATTTAAATTTTATATTTTTTATAACGGAATGCTAACAGATGTTAATAGTCAACTAACAGAATTAACAAAACGTTATAACTTGATGTTAGGTGAGGGTTATTTTATTTAATTTGTATCGGTGATAAGCTAAAAATATCATAATATAAGATAAATGGTTAAAACTTACCAACTTTTTAAGGTAGGAGACTAAAACTTATTAACTTTAGAAGATAAAAAATTAAAATTATCATATTATAAAATGAGGGACTAAAACTTATCAACTTTATAAATTGAGAGGCTAAATGTTGGTTTTTACCAAACTTTTCAAGATCTCAACACGTACAAATCATGTACTGGAACGTCTCCTACCAACGTAAGAAAAAGAAAATGATGAGTGTAGAGTAAATGCTGCTAGTCAAAACTTTTAGGACACAAGGGATAGAATGGTAGGTTAGAACTTGGAAGAAAAGTTTCTGCATCATATAGATAGTATCTCTCCGGAATCTCATACACTAAATAAAACTTCACCTTCCTATTTTAATTTAAAAGGGCATGTGGACCAGAAAGAGGGCATACAATATTCCTTTTGCCTAACATGGTTTTGGAAGCTAGAGCTGACAAAAGCATGTGAGAATGCTACAAGTTTGTGCCTATGGCGCCTGTAAAGCTGTCAAATATCACCAATATTTCAAACCCGCCCAGCAGATTGACAGCCAAATTCTTGCTTTCATTTTTCTTTAAATATCTTTCTTGCAATAAATAGGCTAAACAACTGTCCTAATATTTGCCATTGATGAAAGCATTAAATCA